CTACACCTGTTGCACAAGTCTCGTCACGTTTCTGAGTGTTCTGAGCATGCTCACTCCACCACGAAACCCTCGAACCCATCCCCTCCGGGGTTATCCTGAACGTGAGCGTTATAAACTGACTCCCCTTTCTCACAAACGCATAAATACACCATAAAGTAGGTAAACGGTATAAACCGGGTGCAAGTCTTAAAATGGCTAAATTTAAACGCAAGGAGCGAAGTGTGTATTTTGGTGGGTGGAACTACCTTCAAAATCACGCGACGGCTGAATAAAATCATTCAATTTTTCAGTTGAGAATTTGTTGCTGCTTCAGTGATGGGAAAATCAAGATGAATTTAAAAAATTTCTCTAAACTCGACCTATTTTGTGGAGAATTGAATTTCGTAATGAAAAAATCTCATATTCTGATGAATATGAGTGACATAAATAGGGACATGGGAAATAGGAGAGGTGTTCCAGTAAACGCCACTTTTCGACAGATCACAGACACTTTGTTATCTAATTTCGAATGTTTGTAATTGTGCGATTACGATCATTCTTTTTCTACCCGGAGGAATTCGAAAATCTCCCTTTGCACTAAGATGATTTGTTTACTTATCCTCGGTAAATGTTAAATTCTATCCATTGAAAAAACGCAGAGAGTGGCCGAAATCGGGACAGCGGCAGTAACTGGGAGATTGACGACAGCAGAAGCCTCGAGAAGCAAAACCGTCGAAACATCCTCTGTTCCGATGAATAATAGAGTCGGATGTTTATCATAAGACTTGAAAACTCCATATTACCTTATATTAATATCCTAATTTCCATAACCATAAAAAGAAACTACTCTCCGGTCGTAATTCCACCAGAGATCAATTCTTCTTCCCTTCGTTTTTATTTTCTCATCTCCAAATTCCAAGAAACTTGGATTGTTAGCATTAGCCCAATAATTTCTTCAGCCTACTCTTAATCCCTCATCCCCTCTGACCTAGCCGACCGCTGCCACATGTCGCATTGGACCCGTTGGATTTTGGTAATAATCCATCCAGCATTATATACACAAGAAATAAACTAGAGGTCAGTGCCAGCTGGCACAGTTGTCGGGCTGCTGTTCCTCCACGACTTCTAAGCACGTGCTCAAACTCCATACGTTAATAAGAAGCCCAACATTATTATGTCTCATTTATCCCCTATACCCCACCCCTATCTCCATTTTCCCCCTTTGGGTATAAAGAAAACGTCTCGACAAAAAAAAATTTTTTCTCGTTTACATGGGAATGGGTTTTTGTAAAAGCCAATTGAGGTTATCGGATGACTGAAAAAATAAAAGAGAAAAGGTAAAAATAGTTGGGAGATATTGAAATGAGTTTTTGGGACTCCCTTTTGTGTTGCCTCGGGTGGTTGAAGGCGCAGAATGAGGCAAGCACAGACGTATATGCAAATTTATGTAGAGTTGCCTGGTGGTGTCAAGTGTCACTTGGATCATTAGGGTCAAACATTAATTTACATTCAATTCAATCAAACAATGAGCAACAATGCGATTGCTTTCTTTAATTTCTTTATTTGATATTATATTTTTGGAATATTCAAAATTTCTTGTCCAATGTTTTATTTGTATTTCATATTTCTATTGATTCGTCCATTTTACTAAACGATTTCTGATTATTTTATGATGAAAAGATGTTGAAATGACATTTGTTTAAATTTATTATTTTTAGAATATTTTGAGACGAGAGGAATTTAATAGGAAACATTGAGAGAAAAATCTGAAGTTCAATTTACAATGAGAAAATAAATTAGCTTAGTCGGTAAGAGTGCCCGGCGCGTATCTGGGAGACCCGGGTTCGATTCCCGGCTGGGTGAAGCGGAAATTTTTTCTCTCTAAATTCTAATTCTCTTAGAATTCTTTAATGCCTAAAGGAGGTTAGNTTTTTTTTTGTATGCGGCACATAACATTATAGTAACTTCACAAGCGTAATTTTTGCAAATCAAAATGCAGTTAAACTAACCAAAGTCCAAAAGTAACCACGACAAATCTATCCTGAGCAGAACTATAAAATATTCGCAATGACTACATTCCATTGTAATAATTACTCCACCCGCCATAGTTACCGTAACCCATGAAAAATTGTTGAGGAATTTTTGACTATAATTCGATGGTGATGGAATATAGTCAGAAGAATTATATTTTTCTCTCAGTGTAGTTCCTCATAAAATATTAAACGATTTTTCGCTGAGAAATGCAATTATTAATAAAAAAAGTTTCCATGAAATTTGTAAAACAATCGAAACGAATTGTTTAAGCTCCAAAACAGTTAAAATCAAATCCTTTATATCAGTGAATTTCAATAAAATCGCAGGTATGTATTCAGTATCGAAAATTCCCTCATAAAATTCGTTGTCTAACCATTAAACTTATCAATAACAACTCAATAAACGTCAACAGGTGTCCTTCAATTGTTTATTCGCCCATTCCCCCTATCTCCTCCATTCGACTACTTAATTCCAATAAAAAAAAAATATATACACACCCATGAAAAAAAAAAGTGTTTCATTATAACCCATGTACATGTGAGAAATGAGCTTAACCCCACTTCTCACCACGACTTGACTGGAAAAAAATAAAAATGCGTCAGGTGTGACAGGGGAGTGCGAGACTCCTGAGGGTCAACACTCAAATAGTCCTGTAGCAAACAGCACAAGTTTCCTAGATAGGAATCGTCGTTACAAGGAGAGGGAACGCAACTGGCTGACAGGTGCAGGTGCATGTGCATCGCTATGGTGAACGCACCTACGGGAGCAACAATCACCTTATGGCAACTGTAGTCTTTTCTTATTCATTTTTTGAGTTGCTAGGCGCGATTACAATTTTCGGGCTCGAAGACAACTGGGACATTATTCTCCCTATCACTTGAATTATTTACATTTTTAACAGATAAAAATCCATCGTCTGTTATCAATTTATACGATTTAATTTTCGCTATTGGAATCAGTCACAGAAAAAAAAAGTTTTCAAAATAATAAGCTTGAAACTCATAAACTCTGTCGTACTTGAAATACAGCATGCAACAATCCTGAAAATGAGGGAAATTTTCATTTATTTAGAGAACGTCTTTCTTACTAGGGGCCTCGCCCCCTGTTCGCTTCGCTCGCCAAATGATCTCGATATGATCGTCATGATCCTTATTCTGAGCCTTGTGACCCTTAATATGACCCTCGTGACCCTTAATCTGACCCTCGTGACCCTTAATCTGACCCTTGGTACCCTTATTGCTACCATTAATCTGATTTTTATAATGCAGAGAGATATATTAAGACCCTTAGTTTCTATTATTTGGACCCTTAATTTGACCCTTGTGACCTTTATTTGGATCCTTAATCTGGCCCTCATTATAACCACGTGTCCCTTATTTTGACCCTCGTGACTCTTATTTCGATCCTTGTGATTCTTAATTTTGGAGTTTTAATTTCGAGTACCAATTTTTTGTCATCAGAAGTCGATTTGAATTTTATAGTAATTTAGAGAGATAGAATAAGCCAAAAATCTATAATTCTCAGTAATTTTTACACGAATCTAGTAAAATTGTACTCAAATGGAGGATTTTTTTTAAATTTTAACATTAAACCAGAAACTTTTTTTCCTGTGCCCTCGGTATCACGTGGATTATTAATTTTTTCTTCACTAGTAAAAAATTATCATTTATTATTAATTTATAATAATTGATAAATATATTGGCTGTATCATTTTAGAATCATAATTTTAATGAATAAATTAGAAATTCAAATTTTTTAAAAATTCAGTCCTAAATAAAATGGGGTAGAGTTGATTAGATGAATAAATATTCATGACTTCCACAAAAACATTTGTTGTCCCCTCATTGTCTCACAAATATTCCCAGAAAGAAAAAAAATCAACAATTTGAGTCACAATATTGACGAGGTATTCTAATGACGTATCTCTTGCCTTCGATCCATTGGTTGTCATATCATTACTGGTTTCTACTTAACATATCGATCGCAATTACCATAAACTTTTTCCCACACTGAGAATTACCTAGGGAAGGGGAAAGGAGGCCTAGTGACCATAGGGGACCACGTGCTTACAATTAATTCGCGTTATTACTGAGGGTGGGGATGTAAATAACACTGCAATTGTTTCGAGGTTGAAACCGTCGAATTCCAGAGGGGAAAAAGAAATCAGCGGTGCTTATCAATTGTATGGAGATAATGAAGATTGTGAAGGGCGATAATGACTACTGGAATGGTCACGTTATTTTTAGGAACAGATGAGAAATATGTCAGGTGAATTAATCACGAGATTAATGAATTTTAATGAAAATTTATTGAAAATTGAATGAACACGATGCACCCACAGAAATTATTTAGCACCAGATGTTTCTTTGATCCAAATAAAAAGTTTGATGAAAAAGAATTTATTTGGATTAAATGGGTTAATGATTTCATACAATTAAAACATTTTTATTAAAATGAATATATATGATTTTATTAATTTCCAACAGAAATAATGTGGGGTTTCATATAGAAAAATTCCCAATTGAAAGTGAAATCTGGTTCAAATGAGTGATTTCTCGGAGCGTATTGGATACTTTTACGAGAAATTATCCGACATTTTTCACTATAAAAATTTTATAAGCTGCGGATAATTGCAGACTTTTGGTAATTTCAAGCAAAGTCACTTCGAAATGGTCAAATTAACTGTAAAATTGTTAATTTAACGATACAAAGATTCATTTCAATTGAATAAAAAATGCCAGAAGACACTCGTGTGAAATTTTCATAGTTACGATAAAACTCTCTTGAATTTCTCCCCTAAAATTCTTCATTCTCAAGATAAATGCATAATGAGTGCAAAAAAATTACTTGCTTATTGCATTCATTCTCATCTCAACTACTCCAATTAAGTGGATATTTTCCGGAAAAATTGTGTTGACAAAAATCGATTTAATACTCACATATAACCAAAAATAAATTTATTGATACAATAAAATGTTTAATTGCAGATATCCCGGCGCAAGTGCCACCATTAACGCCGGGTACAAACAAAAAAATGACCGAGGCCCTGAAGGCCTCATTCGCATCCTGGGAGAAGGAACAAGTTCGCCTCAATATAACCAAAGGTAAGATCATTTTCTATTTGAATTTTAATATCAGCCACGAAGAGGTAAAACGTGATAGAAGTACTCTATTTCTCACATCTCGTCGAACGAAAGATCAAATTATCTTGATAACGAGTGACTTTATGAGAAAATATTCGAAGACAATTTTTTTTTAAATTTAATTCTCTGTAAACAAGGTCATCTGACATTTTTTTTTCAAATCTCATATTGGAGTTATGAGTAGAATTGGGATAATAGCTCTGTGAATTTAATACAATTGTGGCTCGTTATTCAGTCGCACGCAGAAGACGCGTCTCGGCCTTTACTCTAACTCCGAAGACTACACGGAGAGAATTAAATAGTAAACATTACTATGTTCCATGGTAGCCATTACCATTCCCATAGTAGTACTTACGAAACCTTGGTAACATTTACTATGCCCCGATTTCTACATAGTTATCTTTGCTATTTTATTTTCTCCGTGTACCGACTTAGAAATTAATATAAAAGAGGTTACTATGTAACATAGTAATTATTGCTATGTCCATAGTACCTATTACCACTAAGGAGCTTACTATACCCCATAGTAAACATTCCGATGTTCCATGGTAGCCATCACCATTCCCATAGTAGTACTTACGAAACCTTGGTAACATTTACTATGCCCCGATTTCTACATAGTTATCTTTGCTATTTTATTTTCTCCGTGTACCGACTTAGAAATTAATATAAAAGAGGTTACTATGTAACATAGTAATTATTGCTATGTCCATAGTACCTATCACCATTAAGGAACTTACTATGCCCCATAGTAAACATTCCGATGTTCCATGGTAGCCATCACCATTCCCATAGTAGTACTTACGAAACCTTGGTAACATTTACTATGCCCCGATGTCTACATAGTTATCTTTGCTATTTTATTTTCTCCGTGTACCGACTTAGAAATTAATATAAAAATCATGAGACAATTATTATCAACACTTGAAGGTTTTAACTTTCTTCCTGACCTATTTTTCATGCCCATTGGTGCATCCACCAACCAAACATCAAAGTCAACTGTTTAAAAAAGCGAGAAGGGAAAAAATGTTGAAGAATTGCAAGTAGATTTACATGTACCTATATAGTAATGCGACGTTGGAAAACGCTGATTTCGATTCACGCAAACGGGGGAGGGTGTTTCGCAGTGCGTAACGAGGGCCCGATTCACCTCAACATTGCGACTAGACTGTGTGTTGCAATTTGTTGGCCATGTGTGTACGTGTGCTCAGAGACTGCACGAAGTGCTGTATCAACGAGCCGTTACTCAGTAATCGGTCAACGGATGTCTTGTTGCACATATCAACGTTTTTATTTCGTCTCTCCCACTCAATTTTTATGCACGTAATTGCGTAAAATTTTGTCATTTTCATTTTTAATACTATTGAATTTCAAGAGCATACATAGTAAAGCTTATTATGTTACATAGCAGAGCTCCTTATGTTACGTAAAATGTCCTATACACATAATGAAATTATTCTAAATAATTAAATACCATCAAGGCATGAAAGAGGAGTAGATCAACGTTGGGCACAGATATATCATTAATTCAAGAACGAGAATTTTCTTGTTGTAAGATCCATCGAAAAGAGAAATTATGGTTTTGAATGAAATAACGAATTTATTCAGGGAGCTCTTAATAACGCTCATTGAAACCTAAATTAAATGTGCAGTTGCATTTTTATTCATATCAAATGAATAGTTTTATAAATGTAAACAAATGCTTTCTTCATACAAGTCAAGACTTTATTAGTTAGAAATCTAATCATTGTTTAGATGGCAAAGGTAAAGAATTTATTGATGTAATTATAATAATTCCCTGTTTGAATCAAATAGAGAGTTTAATCTTGAAGCGTCTTGAGTTTATATGAACGCATCAAGAGGCAATCGCGAATTTCAACCGGTTATTTTAAAGATACTTCGTTTATTCATAGGACCATTTTCCATTCACATTGTAACCATTACCATGGGACATAGTACGCATTACCATGCGACGTAGTAAACATTACTATGTGACATGTTAAGCACTACCGTGGGACATAGTGAGGATTACTACGGAGGGACAGTTGAAAACCCTTTTACTATGTTGCCATAGTAATCTCTCTTATAGCCATGGTAATGTTTACTATTCAATTCTCTCCGCATAATAAATATATTAATTTTTTGACAAAAGCAAAATTACAACTTTTTTTTGACAAAACAGCGACATAGGACCATTTTCCATTCACATTGTAACCATTACCATGGGACATAGTAAGTATTACTATGGAACATAGTACGCATTACCGTGCGACATAGTAAACATTACTATGTGACGTGTTAAGCACTACCGTGGGACATAGTGAGGATTACTACGGAGGGGACAGTTGAAAACCCTTTTACTATGTTGCCATAGTAATCTCTCTTATAGCCATGGTAATGTTTACTATTCAATTCTCTCCGCATAATAAATATATTAATTTTTTGACAAAAGCAAAATTACAACTTTTTTTTGACAAAACAGCGACATAGGACCATTTTCCATTCACATTGTAACCATTACCATGGGACATAGTAAGTATTACTATGGAACATAGTACGCATTACCATGCGACATAGTAAACATTACTATGTGACATGTTAAGCACTATCGTGGGACATAGTAAGGATTACTACGGAGGGACAGTTGACCCTTTTACTATGTTGCCATAGTAATCTCTCTTATAGCCATGGTAATGTTTACTATTCAATTCTCTCCGCATAATAAATATATTAATTTTTTGACAAAAGCAAAATTACAACTTTTTTTGACAAAACAGCGACGATTTCGAAGTTTCTGGTAAATGAAAGATTGTTTCGAGCGCGAATGGTTGAAGAAGAAAATTAAATGAATATTTTTTGTTGGAAATTCTGTCAACTACAAAACAAGCTTAACGCACTAGATTCGAAGTATGAAAAGTGAAACGCATTTTCAAGTAATATCGTCGATATCCACCGAAAAATGTCTTTCACAGACAGCACATTTCTCCCAAAAAAGGGTCCCCTGACATTTCTCCCCAACCCTTTTCTACACATATCTTCTTACCGAAAAAACCAACAATTTTCCTCTTCACTCTCTTCACATCTTCACGTGTTCATAAAAAAAATCCAGCCACTTGAGCTCCATTGAATCGATCCCCTGAATAATTTCCACCTCCCCCAATCCTGAGGATCTCGAATTTCCCCAAGACATCCCGAAACAATAAAAACCCCTCAAGCCAGATAAAAGAAAAACGAAAAAGAAATGAAATTGATCGACATCTGTAGTTCATTTGAACACGTGCCTGCTCACGTATTATTATTTTATCCACAATTCAACAAAAGGAGGATGGAGCGCACGAGCGTCGGCTCACTACAGTTCACGCACCGAGGGTACACGAAGTGGAACGCTCTCTGTTCACCCGGTTCACGGAGGTCAGACGAGGTGATCCCGGCCTCCCTTCCCCTCCTTATTTCACAAATACATCTACGACTCATTGTGTGTGTTTGGTTGAGAAGAGGTTCGCTATATATCCCAACTGAGTGAGGGCATGTAGACCGGAAGTAACGTCACACCCGCGTGGCTCTGAATGCGCATACCGGATGTGTGGCATCGGCTCCCCATCAAGAGTGCCATCAACATCGCATTCACGATTCTACACAGATTGCCATAGCATTGCCTGACACAGACGTTATTTTTCCTCATCATCGTGTTCTCATTTTTTTTACTTTTTATTGGATTAATCTTGATGAATGAAAGGGTTTTGATTATTTGGAGAAATACATATTCGCAGGGTTTGGGTAGAGAAATTCTTTGAATTCCTTGGTGTCCGAGGGGTGGCGTGAAGGGGAAGGGGGGGGGGAGTGATGAATGGCTTGTAAAAAATAATCTTTCGATACTTTTCTGTAAGATTACTGATTTCCGATATATGAGGATAACAATTAATTCTATCATCGAAGAATGATGAATTACGACATTGATACTAATAATGAATTACGCAATTGATGATAATAATCATCATATTCGCAAAATAATTTTTTAAATTTTTTCTCCATTTTTGTTACAATACTTGAGAGGAAAAATAATCTCACAGTTCATACAAGAATTTGCAACAAATTTCGTTAAAAATGAAAAATGATAATCTCGCATTAATGGAACATATTTCTGACATACAATCGCAGTTTCTCCAATTTTTTGTTAAAAAAAAATACTTGGAGTTTTTTTCTTAGCACCTGGTCCATTCATAAACTGCACTTGAATGGAGATAACAATTACAAGGTACTCGGTACTGTTGAGCAGGAAACAGACTGTTGAAAAGTCCATAAAAACTTTCGAGATTGTATTTATTTTTCCCCACAAATTCTTCAATTGAAAACTGTTTTATTACATTTGAATCGTCCCCAACCTCAGCAACAGGTGGACTCCACCTAAATCAACACACCCCTGATTTGTCCAAACACCTGCATGAAAAAGTCATAAAACCTCGGGTGAAAAGGTTTTTTGTACGAGAAGAGGAAAATGAAATGAGTCCGAAAATTTTCGATAGATTATTCATCGGAAAATGCCTCGACATTTTTTTCACACAGAATTGTTACAAAGATGTATTGAAAAGATAATCTAGAAGCGAATCCCTTTATTCATGTAGTTGAGCGCAAAACAGCTGAAAAAAAACATCCACGAGGATATTTTTTGATAAAACTATTGGTTCTATAGACAACTATACAAAACTTTATTAATGGAGTGACCCAGTTAAGCGTCTTTGTAGCCCTTTGACCCACTCATTCCCAAGATATTCACACAATTTCCAAAAATGAAATTCCCATCTTGTTGCATCCCCTCAATATTAAAACTCAACTAGTGGATCGGGCTGTTGGTCGCTCGCTACGCTCGCTCCGATTGCGGGTGGGTTGGTAGCGGATGTATTCATGTGGGTCTGACCCGTCGGACGGGTCGCACCAACAACTTCCCGATATTATTATTCCTCCCATTTTGACTAAAAGAATCCTTTTCAACTCTCAATACTCTGTTTATTTATTCATGAGAACCCCTTGTCTGAGCGATTTTCAACCTTTTCTCCAGGGAATTTTGGAAAAACCACTGGAAAAATCACTGGAGTTTCAGAAAATCCTAGATAAATCACTGGAGTGATTGACTCTAGTGATATCCTGATGTTGACAATGCCAGTCACATCATTTATACAGGAGAAATACTTATCTTAGCCATTTTCAAACATTTCTCCAGGAAAATTTGGAAGAACTACTGGAGCGAATCACTCCAAACTCTAATCAGGTCCAAGTTACATGAAGACGTATCGATTGGGGAAAAAAAAGTTAAATGGGACCATTCGTTCCCGAGAAATTGTTGACCAAAACTTTGACCACATACGTACAAAGTAACACACATACACACACACACACACACCCACAGACATTTTGTTAAAAAATATCGAGGAACATTAGAAATACCTTAAAACGTGGAGATATCATGGAAAATCGATTTTTCATTTTCGGGGGCATTACAATAACTTCCCTGCCCGGGAAGTTAATAAAATTTGTCTCCGAAATGAAAAGAAATTGTTCTTCCAAGATATCCCCACGTGCATCGCAAACCATTCCCCTCCCAAGGACTAGAAACTCCAGCGACAAGAAGAAAAAACTGAGAAAAATCCCAGAACAGGTGAACTTCTTATCTAAACCTAAAGATTCAATCGTCACTAAAAGAAAAAAAAACGATAGAACATTGTGTGAAAGCGAGACCATATAACTCTCGAGTCTGTTAACAATATACGAGTGGAATAAACGCTGGTCAAACATTGGTCGCAATCCTCAAACACTGTCGGTATCCTTTGATCCGGGAGAACCCCACCCTCACCGCTCCGTTAGTCTCCAAGTGTTCCGTCCTGTTCTCTCCAATGGGCACTTCATGATTCTTTTTCGATTTTTATCTCAAGTTTATGATGCTAATGGGACATTTTTCATTCAGAAACATTGGGGAAAAACTTTATTAATTAATCACTAATTTTCAACAGTTGCATGAGGTCAACATCCCAGCTATGGAAAGATAAATGGGCCCAACGCGGTCCAAGCATGGCCGCCGGGTTCGGATTTGGTCGAAGCCTGGTTTGATAATATCGGGTCAGGTCTGGGCGCGTATCTCGGCCAAGCGTCGGTTGCCGGTCCTCCGCCAGGCTCAATTAATCGTACTCAATTACATGAATCTGATGTGGATGATTGAAATAGTATATTTCGTAACGAGTGCAAAATAGTATATTTCGTAACGAGTGCAAAAAAGTGTTTTTTGACGAGTGGGAGGTTTATATAATCCCACGAGCTAAAAAGCATTTTTTCACGAGTTACGAACAATATTTTTCATCACAATGTGGCGGAAATTGGACTTTTAGGCACGCGGAGTATGCCGAAAAGTTCGCTTTTCGTCACAGCGTGATGAAACAGTGATTTTTGGCGAGTGGGAGGTTTATATCACGAGCCGAAGGCGAGTGATATAATCCCACGAGCTAAAAAACATTTTTTCACGAGTTACGAACTAGTATATTTCGTAACGAGTGCAAAAAAGTGTTTTTTGGCAAGTGGGAGGTTTATATCACGAGCCGAAGGCGAGTGATATAATCCCACGAGCTAAAAAACATTTTTTTACGAGTTACGAACAATATTTTTCATCACAATGTGGCGGAAATTGGATTTTTAGGCACGCGGAGCGTGCCGAAAAGTTCACTTTTCGTCACAGCGTGATGAAAAATATTTTTCATCACGATGTGGCGGAAATTGGACTTTTAGGCACGCGGAGCATGCCGAAAAGTTCACTTTTCGTCACAGCGTTTTCTTTGTGCAAGGAAAACTTATTTTTCTCTCACCGCAGCGATTCTACGAAAAGCGACAGATTTGCAATTAGTTGTCAATAATCTAAGCCATTGACTATTCCCCTGCTCTAACAAATGTGCAAATGGGGGAATCGAAGGAAACCTGAGTGGAGCCCCTGTTGTATTTTGTCTTGTTCTCAGCGGTTGGCCCGAAAATGTATTGTCAAAGAAAAAATTGTCCGTGCATAGCTCATAATATCATTATATTTATCGTGTACATACATTTAGTTTTACCAAAGGATTGGCTCGTCTCTCCATTTCACGTGTATATATTCGGCACATTTTCGTTACGTTCGTGTGAGCTCGGTTCGGTTTCCACGAACTACGATCTACCGGTGTTTCCATTCATAAAAGGCCCTCGTCCGGATCGAACGAGTTCCTTTGTTCGTTTCTGACTACGCAATCAGATGTTTTGTCTGACTATTTTTACGGTTTTTCTCGTCGTTAGTTGTATTGAGATTGGTTGAATTATCCTATCTGATATGATCAAATTAAAAAATGCCTAAAGACTATTCTTTAAGAAATGAAAAATTCCGTAAAGATAATTTATGGCACGCCGTGCAATAAGTCGAGTTTATCGCACGCTGCGCTTCGCTCGCTTCGCTCGGTAGAATCGCGGATTCTGGGCCCTATGACATAAAATAGTATAGACCACTCGGGCATAAACTTCACACTCGTCGAAAACGAAATTTGTGCCCTTGTACTCTAATGTACTATTCTGAAGTGGAACATGTTCTTTCGAAAATGTTTAAATCATATCATTATTTTCTTTTATTTTTCTTTCTTCATTCGTAATTTTTTGGATTGATATGCGACATGATTAATTTGTGATTGCAATGTCAATGCAGTCACCAGAGGGCATCGGCACTCCATCCGTAATAATGTGACTGACGACTCGATGAGATACCACGAAACAATGCACCCTCCCCCTCTACACACACGCAAATATGGGTGCGAACCTCAAATGGGACATTCCACTGATTCTCGGTATACGTCGGTTTGTAAGTCGTACAAGTTTTTCAGAGGATTTTTTTTTACGTTTTATGTGTATGTACTTCTTCCTTATCAGTATGGAGAGAGGTTAAGTGTTCTCGTAGACATCTGAATGAGAGACTTATCTGGACACTTTGTTATGAATCATGGATTTTCTCTTCTGCAAATACAAAAAGTCATTTTTTCTGCAAATGAAATGGGGAAAAACGTTCAATTATCTCCGCAATGATAGGTACGAAACATCATCAGAAACCCATTTTTATAGAGAATTTACTGTGGCGGCCCAGCACCCGAACGTGTAAGAATTTTCCAGTAATAAAATGCGTCTTTCTCATTATTCAGACGTAGAATCGCCAAAAAATTAATTCTTTGTAAACCTCCATATTATTTGCGTAGAAAAACAAGCAGTATGACGGAAGCTATTTGACAGATCACTCATGACTGTTACTTTTTGTGTAAATTTTCAAGATTCCTATTTTGACACTAAAAAATTGAGCTTGGGTCGAACAGATTATAGTTTTCTGTTTCCATCATAATTTAATTGAGAGTAAAAACAGGGAAGAAAGCTGTATCAAAATTTAGAAATAAGTCACAATTAGTATTATGCGTTGGCGTACTCATACTTGTTCGGCTACTCCTATCTTGACGGTAATTTTCTGAAACAAAGTTCTTCGAACATTTTTTTGTAGAATTAACATCTATCGAGATAATAATTAAAAATCAGGCCCGGTCGCGCGCTTCGCGCGCTCCCTCTTTAGGGTATGACCGGTAGGTGTTGGTGGAATTGGATGTGACCCATTACGGGTCGCACCAATAACTTCCCGACCATTTGTTTTTTCTTTCATTAATTTTTTTATTATGTATTTATTCAATCTTTTTCTCACATTTCTCCGAGGAAATACCCATAGAAGACAAGAAAATCTGTGCGCGTGCTCGCACTCACACACACTCCCATGCACACACATCGCCGTATTTCGCATCGAGAAAAGATGTAATTTATCAGAAAAGTAAAATTGTTTCTTGAATGTATATCGATTTCGAAAAAAGCTAGTGAACTGCTGATTAAATGTCTTCCAGTATTCCATGATTTGTGCGTTATATCAAGATTCATCGTTTCTAACAAAAAAAACTTGAAATCGCATCGTTATGCACGGAGAAATGGTCTCGTTTACAAAAAAACGCTAATTTTCGACTTTTTTCCAAATGTTTTTTGGAAAAAACTGGAGAAACGCTGAGACGATCGTCTCCATAATCTAATCAGGTTCAAGTCACATGAAAATACAGCGATTAAAAAAAAAAAAGTCAAATCGCATCGTTTGTTCAGGAGGAATCGTGGCACAAAATTTTTGTCACAGACGTACACACACACATACACACATCCACACATACAGACATGTACCTGAAAAGGGTCAGAAGTGGTTCCAAAGGTCATGAAACGTGGAGAAATGCTTAAATTTCCACATTCGATTTTCGGGGTCATTACAATAACTTCCTCCCTTCGGGTCGGGAAGTTAAAAATTGAAAGAGGAAATACAATTTTCAGTGTAAATAATCACGTTTTTGTTTGCAGATCCGAGGCAGTGGTCAGAGACAGCAGTGGCTCACTGGCTCCACTGGGCAATAAGGGAATTCTCGCTGGAGGGTGTGGCGATGCAGCCCTGGCAACAACTGACTGGTAAACAGATCTGTGCTATGGGAAAAGAGTCCTTCCTGGCACGTGCGCCAGCCTTCATGGGTGACATCCTATGGGAGCACTTAGAGCTGCTCCAAAAAGGTACGTCATCGGTGAGACAAAAGTGAGACATTTTCTTCTAAACCCCGGTCCCACTCGAATCAAATCGCATCGTTTTTTTCTCACAGTAAATGGAAAAAAAAAATAATCATCTTGGACCAAGTAATTGTTCACTGGAACTCTAGAAAATATATTTTCAACAACAATGGCGTCACATTGCGGATTAAAATCACAGTAGCCTCCTGTAGTCTCTCCACCGTTCATAAATCGTGTTTGTTCCACCGATCGGATCGTAAGATACCACCTGGGGACCCTGGACACCCACCGGAAACGATCAATCCAAGCGATTCCATAGCGATGAAAGACCACCACTCTAACTACTGCTTTACTCCACCCACTGGCTGATATTTTTCACCGCGAAACTCAAACCGTGGATTAGAATAATCGAGAAAAATGAATGAAAGAGGAAAAAATGAGCATCCTGCTCGTCTTCGGACACATCCTGTTCAATTTTTTTGTCTCCTAGGGGGTAGAATGGGCCCTATCGTATTTCGGAAAATCGCGAATGGCACAGGTATCTCCACGATCCTGAAAATGGGAGGATCTTCACTGAATCTCGAGGTTTTTTTTTTCATTTGGGGGAATGGATATGTAAAAAGAGGCCTCCGGATGTCCTGTACCTCCAGAATTTATAGCCACCATTATTAAAGCCACTTAAATGATTTTTTGGAGCTCTTAATGTTCTTTTAGAGGTTTCTTCATTTTTTTTGTGGGAATAATAAAGTGTATCGAGAGGTGTAATGACGTGTAGTTGCGGTTGTAATTAGAGTGAATAGCGATTCGTCATTTGCGACCGTTAAAAACATCGTAATATTGGAAAAACTGTATTTTTGCCAAAACATAATTAGGAAAATCATCGGCCCATTTTTTTCATAATCATCTAGAGATCCTAAGAGTTTGAAAGAATTCATAAATCTTAGTTTTCCGTAGAGTTTTGTCTGAACTATCTTTGCAATAAAATTAATATATGGAAAATATGAGAAATTTCCTATAATCATTTATTATTTATATGAATATAGGATTTTGTTCATCATTTTCTGAAGTATTTTTTTCTAGGAAGAAAATTGGTAATAAAAAAATGATTACTTTTTTAAGGATTAATAAAATTTTCTGTTCAAGTTTTTACGAGTTAATTCCTCATAAAGTGGTCTTCGTGATTTAATTTTTCTTACGTAACGAATTTCATGAGTTTTCCCAATGCTCATTAATGTATTTCCTATTTCCCAAAACAGAGAAAAAAAGAGAAAAAATGGGCAAATGGTAAACCACCGGATTTAATGTTACACGAAAATCAAGTTAGCGTGGTGGTAATCGCTTTTGATTTCTCTAATGCGAACGGAAATTGGGAAACTGGGAATTCTTGCAGAATGAAGAGGAGCTGCAGAGATTGGAGAGACGAAAATAAAGAAACACTTTTGGCCTTCGGGGCATAATGTAGGGGCAGGTGAAACTCACCCTCTTGCTTCATGTGTCGTTTCGCTTTCGATTCGACACTTTTAATCAGTCGAGTGTCTTTCCTGAAATGAACTTATTTCTTAATCCAATTAAATAAAATGATGATTGAGTCATCAAGTAAAAAATGAATTCATTTTTCTTGAAATTAAAATTGAAGAAAAAATAGCAATTGAATTTTGAATTGATAATCTCCACCCGATGTTAACAAACTTCACGTCAAATGTTAATTATTGATCTCGCTCATTCTAAATGGTTATCGATTAATTAATCAATCATGAAATAATTTTAGAACGATAGTTTAGGTTCTAAAATTGTGATATTTTGACAATGCAGAAACTTTTTTTTTTCGTTTTCAGTTGAGGGTCAAACGGTCGCGAGGGTGAAACGATCCTTGAAGACGTATAAGATTGAGGGTCCAATGACCCGTTCTGATTACTCTGCTCTGACTCATTCGACTCATCCGTTTTCTTTTTTTTATATTTTAGCGTGTTTTTTGACTCTTAAAAATTCTGAAAAAATTAGAGTTTCTAATTCGATTGAACTGGAAACTCCAATTTTTTCAGGATTTTATTAACCTTTAATCCTTTTATTAACCGTTGGCGTTGTCCATTTTTTTCTCGGGAAATTTGCTTAGCTAAAAAAAGAAAAGAAACGTCGAACGGACAGAAAAGCGGCGCCGCGCCGACCGTTGTGAGTCCCTATCGACCCCTTAAGCGCCAGTGTTGCTACCTTCACTGCTACACTTGAAATGCGCGCATAGTGGTAAGCGCCAAAGTGGCAACAGTGCGCTCGGTTTACCCCGCGGCGCTGCGTTAACCGTGCGACGGATGAAGGCTGGCGGCCGAGCGCAAGCGATCGAGGGTTAAGACCGTTTGACCCTCAACTTAAATTTTAAAAAAAATTCCTGAACCGTGCTAAATAGTCAACCATGCAATATAGTTTAGAACCGTTTTCTAAATAGAATAGAAAAGTTCCAACAAAAATTGTCTCTTTGTAGGAATTGAGGTTGTTGTGGGAAGGTTCAATTGACGAACAATGCGATTACGTTAATTAATCACAATATATTTACAAGACAATAACGAATATATATAAAAGTAATGGATAGGTCTGATCCGGTAAGCGGTCCGTGACTGTCTAGAGTGAGGTGTATCTCAATTCGCAGAGCAGTAGAATTCTGTAAACGGCAGAAATCTGAAATATACGCGTGACACAATAGGTTTTTTTTTTTTTTTTTGGTTTATGAACGGAAAAATGCTCTTTACGCACTCACACACTCCAGACGAGTGGTGTCTGAAGTGTAGTGTCTCGACTCGGTCAGGTCTGGATGGTAGCGTGTGTGTGTGTGAGAGAGAGAGAGAGCGCATGGGTTTCGTTCACCCGTCGATCATCTTTTTCTCAGGGACCGTGTTCAATGCGTGATTGCGTACGTGAGCAACTACTGCACACTCATCCTTGCTATATGTTCGAAAACATAAATGCCGATTTTGATGCAAACAAAAAATAACAAGAAATCGTCTTTTCCCATCTTGTCATGCTGCAGAAGATGAAGTAGAGAAGGCATCTCTCGAGAATATGCCGGCGAATCTCTACGAGAGCGTGTGTGTCCCCGACCTGGAGAACTTCCTGGGCTATCAGGGAGCCAACAATTCAGTGACGACACCGGAGCACAAAAGCCCAGCAACCCCAGCGAGCTCGACTACCTCAGCCTCATCAGGGCCCCGAAACCCACCGCAGCCGCAGCCGCAGCCACCGTCAGCCCTCCAGCAAACTCTCACGAGTGTTCCAGCCCTACCTCCGAGGACCTTCGACGGTAAGTCCCCCTTTCAATCCTTTATCTCTGTTTAACGAATATTATTTATCTCTCATCAGCCTCAAAAATAAATCTCTGAATACCCAAAAATGGGAAATGAATACACCATCTCATGTTTATGTCTGTCGAAAGAAATACACAAAGCGGAGGGGAACAGGGAAAAGTGGAGGTATGGAGATGTTGGGACAAAAGGACATTTTTATTTCAATTCCCTCGATTGCAATACAAACGAAAGCATTGCGACGTGGCAAAAAGGAGTTTCTCATTGTTACGTCAGGTTATAGATAGGATCTCCAACGAAACTAAAGGCTGAGACGCGAGTTACATTAGATGCAAAAAATTACTAAATTTACCGAAAAATTACATTTCTTAAATTTTACAACTCAAATTAATCACTTTTAATTGTTATTTCATTTTAATTGAGGAGGTTTTTCAGATAATTTCGAGGACTTACATTGCTTCAGTCATATGTCACTTGATGAATCAGCAAAGATGCCATTGATGATTGCTATAATTTTTTCTTATTTAATTTGCGAAATAGAAATCATGCGAATGAAGTGTTGATCATTTTTTTCGCTGCCAATTTTATTTTCTGACTAAAAAGATTCCATGGGGGTTTTTCGAAAGTCCCTGATTGTCGGGATATTCTTCGCACCAAAAAATCCGTTAATTTCCGAAAATGACTTCAGTGAATTTTTTCTGTAACATTTTTTCGTTAATATGCATTTCTCCCTCAGCACGCTCCCCTAAAGCGTGTTTATCAGCTGTCGTTCTTGCCGCCTGACTCTCCTCACCCTCACTAAGACTCCTGCAACATCTTGAGCTTTCTTTTTTTCTTCAATTTTTTCCTGAGGTAATACGGAAGTCACAAGTGAAATTAGGCACCCATGATTTTTTTACACTTAAAAAATACTGAAAAAATTGTCATAACTCTTTGGAATAAATGTTTGAATGAATACACAAGTCAAGACGAGACATGAATCACCATTCTCTTATCTTGCCTCGTAATTGCGAGAGGGTTGACTTGTCCTGTCATCGAGACGAGTATTTTGAAAAAAAAATTCTGAAATCGGTTAAGTAGTTTTTGAGATATTGAGAAACAACGAAATGTAAACTAGACCGATCGGGCTGAAACAGCGTGCCAAAGTCGAGCTCAATAATAACTATAATGAGTCAAAATTTCAGATTTTGATCTACAAATTTCATCGTATTTATGTTGAATTTTCGAAAAATTAATTACCAAAACATGATTTTTTTTTTTTTTTTATATTCCGGCTCTTTCTGCCCTCTGATTGGCTAATCGGCGCTATCCAACCCTATGCATGCGGCTGTGGATTCTGCACTGCACCGCATTCGCACTCCTATAGAACATAGGAGTAGCATGGGAAACCACAGAAAACCCATGCCGGTACAGGCGGTCACTATATTAGCGACCTCCCGCTCGCCGGAGCCACCGGTTGAAAAACTCGGTTCCACGGAAAAAAAAACGACTTTAAAACCGTAAAAACATCATTTCTTAAAGTTTTGAAACATTCTAGACCATTTGCAATCAAAATTAGAAAATCGAAAAATCTGTCTAAAACAAGGCTTCCATTCAGAAGCAAAAACTCGAAGAAACTTGAAAACTACACGTGATATTTCCCTCTAACAATGAATTCTGCCGAGATTTATCAATGAACAAATGTGGTAGTGAATTTTCGCGTTACGAAGGCGAGTCGGTCTACCGTGGGTAACGATTATCCACGGCGAAGAGCATGATACTTACGTCATATGTCATATAGAACGTATGAGTTTGACCGTGGATACAAAGGGGGAAAGCATTCAAAATGAATATAAACACGTTATGAGTATGTAGCTAGGGAGGTGTGCACATACAAACATGTAACTGCAACGCGCGCACGCTCGGTGCCAGACAATGGAGATGATCCGTTGATCCTTGCGTGCATAGAGTTTTTTTAAAATGAAATTGTTGATGTCATTCTGACTAAACTTTATGTTCATTCTTAACTCTCTGGCGAGGAATTACAACAGATTCATTAACTTGATTCAAGTACATAATTGTGATTTGTTTTTTTTCCTTCTTGCGTTATTCCATTAGTCTTTTCATTGTGAATTGGTAATATGAATAAAATAAAAAATTATATTGGGAATTAACGATTGCTGAATAAATGAGAACTCGTAACTTTTATGAATATCGTTGAAGGAAAGGGTCATATGTTGCGTGAAAAACTTGATAAAGAAAAAAATTTCGTAATATTTCATAAATTATTATGATGTTTAAAACTGTATCATTACAGTTAAATTAAAAGAAGATCAATTTGGAATTCAATGGAATAATTTCATTCGAGGGCAGAAAGAATTCTGAACAAAGAGAACCGAATTTATCACCACTTGTTGCTCGCGTGGGTGTTCAGATAGCCTTACGACTGTATAATACTCATTATTTCCAGCTACAATTAATCTGAAACCAGTGGAGAAACCGTTACTCATTCACTATTCCCTCGATAAAATTCCATCCTAACAATTCTCAAAAACCGGTAATTATTTCAAAAACTGGCTGCATCTAATTACATCAGAGAATATTTTTCGTAGCTCATTAAATTTCCCCCAAATGTCTCGATAAATTTCGCTAAATCAAGTTTACGCCCTCCTCCCTCCCCCGATAATCGAATTCAATTGGAAAATAATTTCCAATCACACATAAATGTCCTAATAACCTCTTCATCACGTATCAACCACCTACCCGGTCACGTACATTATTATCCACCTGGTGGGGGTACCCAGACACTGCTCCAAAAATGGGTATCATGACGCCAGTCTTCCTTATACAGTAATCATGTATGAAAAAAAAAAAAAAACGAAAAATAATAATTAAACGTGTCCTCGCTTCTGATCTGTACTCAAAACATTCATGAAACCTCTCTCCAAAAATCCCATGTCCAGAATTTTGATATACTGCTGGAGGTCATTCCAAGCCTTTCCCTAGTGCCCTAGTGCCAAGCCTTTCCTTAGTTTAATAGTACAGAAAATTTCAGATATATTCGTAAATGCTCGGCAAGGAGTGCTGGGAACATAGGTCGAAGCCACTACACTAAGAGAAAAATCGACGTAATATCACAAAAATCATTTCTTGAGCGAAAAACATCACATACATATTTGATCAATTTATGGTAGGTTTCAGACAAGAAATCAGTTCTCTTCGGACTAAGGACGAAGTTACTAAATGAAAAGATGATGTCTTTTTCGAAATGAGATAATATTCCTTAAAAGACAAGACTAGTTTGACAGAAGGAAAAGAAGATATTGCTCCCCTTTGAACTCGATTGACAACGTAAACGGCGGTTATATATTTTTAATATCTGGGGGTTTTCCTCTGCGTAAACTCTCTATTCATTCAATATGAAAGTCTCTGATTCATGATTGACAGAATCGAAGGTTTTAATATTTTTAGTCATTCTCTCATCTTCTGCCACGAAAGAACTGATTTCTTGTGGCAAGAAATTCTTATTTTATCATGAAATGATCACGTTCAAGTCATGAATACTTCACTGAAATCTCACATTGTCTGACACATTATCCGGAATTCTTATCCTAAAAAATTCATCCTCAAGAGATGAGATATTTGGCGCAAGAAATTAGTTTTGTGATATTATGACGATATTTCTCTCAGTGTAGTTATTTTGTAACCTTTACCGAAATGATGAAGTTCAGAAAAAAAATTTACTGTTTTTCAATAAAATGTCTCATGAAAGATTACTCTGATGTTTTCTTCCGAAGCCTTTTTGAGATATCTACAAAATATTTTTCCTCATCTTATTTTCCACCTTTTCCTCTCGAAAACGTTATGACTAGAACATTCATAAACCCTCGAAGGCTATTCTTAGTCTATCAGCAACCTCCTCCTAGCTTGATAAACTCACAGGCTCTGGATATTTTTATAACGTTTTTAAATAAAGTGGTAAAATTAAATAGTTTGGAAAATATTATTTCACGAATAATTCGAAAAATTATAGGTTTAGATGAAAATATCAGAGGACGTGTTTCGTAGAAAATTATATTCTTCCCAAATTCATCCGACTTCGAATATGTGCTGCTCTGCACCTCGAAGACTCATTAAACCTCACGCCCAAAATTTTGATAAACCCCCGAAGGTTATTCCTAGCCTCCCCCTAAACAAGGATCGTGGCACGTGGATATAGCACTCGCTAACGTATTTATTATCCTGAACCCCTCGTCACAAGTTTCGTGTCCCAAAGCATCTGCTCAACCTCGTCGCAACAACTTCCTCCAAGCCCCCACCTAGTTTCTTGTTCTGTTCTGTTCTGGACTGTGAAGAAAGAAAAAACTTTTTTCCTTCACGAATGTCTCCTCCCACTGTACCCCATTAGAAAAATCCAAGTGAGCATTACAATCAGAAGAAGCTCATCCAGTTCAGTAAAATTGGGGTGAGGTTTCTTCAACATTGATGATTGCATCTTAGGGTGGAGCACTCGAGGACATTATAAAGATATATAAAAGCTATATCTACCCCCTGGTAGTGTCTAGAAGCATTGGAGGGGTGAGCTACAGTACCCCACCCCTATTTTGTAAGGGGGGCCTGATCCCTCCGCGGCTTCCGGTTGTAATTGGAGACTCTCGACTCATGCGATCCCCACCAGCATAAGGTGGTGAGCAAGATGTGGATGTGAGCATGGCGTTTTTCGAGGATGTGGTAAAGTACTTGGGATGAGTTCAAAACAAACAAATTTGTCGATTTTTTTGGAGAGATCGTTGAGATCTCGATTGAGATTTTTTTGTACGAAAAATTGTCAATCGATGGGGGAAGTGGTTCCGAACAACATATCAAAATGTTTAAAAAATGTTCGAACGGCATATTATTCAAATTAATTAAAAACCATCGGTTTTTCAACGGTTAGCGCCAAAAACATTGGGAACTTCACACACAGAAAACGCTGTGCAGAATTGTCATTGAAAAATCAAATATTCCATTGATTTTCTGT